CTTTTCGGGTGTTTGCGACAATAGGTCGTTTACCATGTTTCATTGCACACTGGTTATTATCCAAGTGCCATCTCTACGAAGTGTTCTTTCTGTACTGACAACTGTAGCACGTTTATGTTTCCTTTGGTAGTTTTACTTGCCATGTTTTATCCTAGGACCCCTTGCGTCTTCCCTTGGTAAATTCAGAGTGACTTGATCTAGCTTGAGCAGTTTTCCCTAAAGCTATGCCAAATTCAGGGAATCTCCCCCCCCCCCCCCGGAATCTTTTATAGGACTTACGGAGTTGTGATTTCTAGAAACTCAGTTTGTCTTTGATAATCTGTGTATGCATTTTTCAGGGGAATTATCGAATCTTGTCATTTTTGGCGCGAGGGGTGGCGGCGAAAGGTGGATGGAGGGGGAACCACTGCCTTTGTGTTTTCCCATCTGTTCAAAATGCCAGCTTACTAGTATGATATGGTAAATCTAGGATTTTCCAAGCAGTTCCCATACCCCACGTGCCTAGCTCTGAATTGTAAATAACCTATTGAAGGCCCAGGCATGCTTTCCCTCATTGAAGTCTTTACAACTCTGTGAGGAGATGCACTTTTTCTTGTTTTGTAGAAAGGGCTCTCTCAGGTTTGCTAGCTGTTCACTTGGCCCCAGTTTGAAAATGACAAGATTAGAATACAAATCCAGGTTTTTTTCAAATACAAAAGACAGTCCTTGCCCTTTAAGGCTAATGAGAAAGCTAGTAAGCAAGCAGTGACTATCAGCGCTTAGGAGGGGCAGTTCATCCAGTTTGGGAGAGTTAGACAATAGGGATCAAAGAAGCCTTGAAAGACGTGACTTCTAAGCTGAATTCTGGAGGACAGGTAGGGGTTAACCAAGTAACAAGAGAAGAGCAGTGTGTGCCAACATGAAAGGCAGAACATCACTGGCCTTCTGGGTGAGGGTGCCAGTTGGTGAGGAGTCATTCACAAGTGTTTGGATCTTGGTCCTGAGGGCAGTGGGAAGCTACACTGCCTTGCTGTGGTTTGTAAGTAGGACAGTCACCTTAAGAGAGGGGCCGGGCTTGCTTCTTCAAGGCTCTCAGCACATCTCTGTCATTTGATTCAGGCAGGCCCAGGGGAAAACAGAATAGCAGGGGTCCTCTAACCTGGATCTGATGCTGGCCTCACCATTCCTTAGAGCAGAGATTCTCAACCTTCCTAATGCCGCGACCCTTTAATACAGTTCCTCATGCTGTGGTGACCCCCAACCATAAAATTATGCTCGTTGCTACTTCATAACTGTAATTTTGCTACTGTTAGGAATGGTAACGTAAATATCTGATATGCAGGATGTATTTTCATTGTTAGAAATGGAACATAATTAAAGCATAGTGATTAATCACAAAAACAATATGTAATTATATGTGTTTTCCGATGGTCTTAGGCGACCCCTGTGAAAGGTTCGTTCGACCCCCAAAGGGGTCGCGACCCACAGGTTGAGAACCACTGCCTTAAAGGCTGTGCTTCCCCGCCCACCCCTTACTCTCTTGCCCTCTTTAGGCTCCGATCTTCGTTTTTTATGATAATTACACCAAACCAAAAAGAAAAAACCTTTTATTGGGAGTAGCAAGGACTGGTCCACCTATCTGATAGGTCTTGAGAGAATAAATGTGATTTTCACATTATTTAGAGTTTGTTTCTTGTTTCCTCAAATATTCATTCTATCAAAAACCAAGTTTTCTTTTGGGGTTTATCATTTTCTTATTTGAGAATGTTAAGACACTATTTTGTGAAAAAGCCATTACTTTTCTGGTGACTTAAAAATATTCTTAAGGATAGTATTAAGTTATTTGTCAATTTTTATAGCTATTAAAAAACACTTTTTGAAATACATTTCTCAAATTGACTGGGAAGAGCAGTGATCTGTAAAAGGCAGCTCGGCCATTGTTCAAAAGCTAAATTGCCAGGTTTTCACTCCTATCCCTTCTCCTTACATTTGACTTCTCTTGAAGTACTTGTAGACACTCCAATAAAGGTATTGAACTCTGAGGTCACTAGTTAGCCAGGCATTCTAGTTTTTTTTATTTTTACTGATTTCAGAGAGGGAGGGAGAGGAAAAGAGAGGTAGAAACATCAATGATGAGAGAGTCATTGATCTGATGCCTCCTGCACAGCCCCCATGGGGGATCAAGCCCGAAACCCAGGCATGTGCCCTTGGTTGGAGTCGAACCTGGGACCCTTCAGTTTGCAGGCCAATGCTCTATCCACTGAGCAAAACCAGCTAGGACTCTAATTTTTTTTAAGCTTGTGATATTGATAAATGGAAGTAGGCAAATTATTAAAATTAGCATAATCTGGATTTGTCATTTCATACAATTGTACAATTGCGTTTTTAAGTATGTACTGAATATAGTACATAGCATTTCATAAATTAGATGCTTCTGTTTCAAGTAGAAAAGAATTATTTTCTATACTTTATTGATGATCTTGAAAGAGAAGAAAATTTGAGAACCTTAATGGCATACTTTGGATTTTTAGAAGTTATACATTTGTGGAATATTTAGAAGGCTCATTTTTCTGAGACTCTAGGCTCTTTTAGTTGTAATTTGAATAATTTCAGAAGAAGCTTTTTAAAAATACTTGTGTCTTTGCATAATGTTACTTATTATAATATTCTGGATAAGCATCTATTTTAATCAAGTATTGTTTTCTTTCCACTTTCGTGTGTGTCCAGATGTTTGTGGATTCTTCTGTGGGATTTGAGGGCACGTCTGTTGTAATCAGAAAACTCCAAGTATAGCAGCAGGGATGGATGAACAGGCTCTTTTAGGGCTAAATCCAAATGCTGATTCAGACTTCAGACAAAGGGTAAGTTAAGTTGGCTTAATTTTTTAAAACATGTTACCACAGTTTTGCATTAGAGGACTTGGATGCAAAGTACATCTGATGATGAAGGTTTAATTTGTGTAGAAATGAGTAGAGATAATATAATTTGAGGTACCGGAATATATTCTGAATATAGAAACACTGAGGGGTGTGATTTATTTTCTATTAAGTTGGCTCCACAAGTGTTAAAATCTCATGGGATTCAAGGTAGGATTTATGTCACATTGCTAATCATTGATAATTATTTTAAAATTGTAATACATAACATTGGTTAAGGGACTTTCTGTAGTAGCAGACATGCATATTTTATTTTCCCAGTGCATGGTTTGGTCTACACAAGTGGTTTAACCCTTGCATTAGTGATATTTAACATCCTTGTTTAGTCTAGGCAGACATGTAAATGAGCAGTTATGATATGCCATGTCCTAGCTTAAAGTGATCACATGTCAGGAATCCAATATGAAATAATGCTCGGATATTTGGGTTAACATTAACAATTAAACATAATGTAGCCTACACCTATAATTATGACTATAGTTGGATGATAAAAGAAACATCTAAAGAACAAGCCTATAATTAAATATTTAAAGATGTAGGCAATTTGAAGTCTAGGATAAGTGGAAGGAGAGGCATTTTCTTTCTTCATTCTACTTCTCATAGGAAAGGATATCTTTTATAATTTTAAATGAGGTTAACAATCTCATTAAATGTTAGCACTTTTACTTGGGCTTTTAAGCAGAAATTTTTTAAAATACGAATTTTTATTGAACTTAGAGAGAGAGGAAGGGAGAAGAAGAGAGAGAGACATCAATGAAAGAAACATCAATGGGCTGCCTCCTGCACACACCCCTAGTGGGGATTGAGCCTGCAACCAGATCATGTGCCCTGACCAGCAATCAAACAAACCTCTCTGTACAGGAAACAATGCTCAACCAACTAAGTCACACTGGCCAGGGCTAAGCAGAAAGTTTCTTTTTTTTTTTTTAATATATTTTATTGATTTTTTACAGAGAGGAAGGGAGAGAGAGAGTTAGAAACATCGATGAGAGAGAAACATCGATCAGCTGCCTCCTGCACATCTCCTACTGGGGATGTGCCCGCAACCCAGGCACATGCCCTTGACCGGAATCGAACCCGGGACCCTTCAGTCCGCAGGCTGACGCTCTATCCACTGAGCCAAACCGGTTTCGGCAGAAATTTTCTTAAGTAGTAAAAAAAATTTCAAGTACTTTGTAACATAGCGCCTATGCATGCCCCTGCTGTTAAGTGACCAGCCCTACAGCTAGAGGGAAATAACAGGAATTGAGATTTAAATAGCTAGCTAATTACAAGATATCCAACTGGTTAGGACATCAAAAGACATTAAAAGTCTATGTCTTGTGTGCCCATCTTTAAACCCTTAGTCACATAGTTGAAGCATCCTGGATCTTTACCTAATTCTGGCTTGGTATTGCATGGTTATTATAATAAAAGCCTTAAGTGTTTAGTTATTAGCTTTCTGTGTTATTTGTTTAGGTTCCTTTTTGAATATTTTTTGTGTGTTTTTTATTAAATTCCACCATCTGACAGATTTTTTTTAAAGTGCCATGATTACCCAGTTGGTATGGCTCAGTGGTTGAGCATCCACCCATGATCCAAAAGGTCATGGTTTGATTCCCTGTCAGGGCAACATACCTGGGTTGTGGGCTCCATCCCAGTGGGAGGTGTGCAGGAGGCAACAAATCAGTGATCCATCGTTGATACTTCGATCTCTCTAACCTTCTCCCTTCCTCTCTCTGATGTTTTTTTAAAAACATTTTTAAAAAAATGCCATGATTTTCTTTTCAAAAAAGTAACCAAGAAATTGTTAGTGTTTTTAATATTCAGAAGTTACGCTTTTCATCAGTAAAAATGGGTTCTGTCAATCACAGGCATATGTGGTCCAGGCTTCATTTGATATCCCATTAAGCCAACCTGAGTAACAGGATGGAAGAGGACAAGTCTTAGAGAAAAATGAGTTCTCATGGTCCTGATGTTAGAGTTCAGTAGTGGGGACCTAATTCGGCTTGGTGGTAAGAGAAATGACTCCCAACCACATTCTCATTCTAGTTCTGTTTTCTCCATGGGCAGTAAAAGCTGAATTATCTCTGTTGGCACTTAGAGACAATAGGACCTCAGAAAGAAGGTATGAGATAGAAGAACAGCATGATAAAAGCTTTGACTAGTTCGTTATTGCCAGAAAAAAAAATATTTTTCATGCTATTAACATGGATTTAGAGTGCAAAGACTAGTTAAAAACTGAGAACTTTCTAGTTATTAACTCATTTTTTAATGTGTGAATAGAATATCTTTGGCTTAAAACTTGCTGTTATTTCAGCAAAGTGGTATGTTAGTAACAATTCTAGCAGCTGAATTCCCTACCCTTCTTTTTTTGGTAAGTGGTAATGCAACTTACATGATTAACTTCCACCTTATCACCTGCCCTGGCCTTTGAGATATTTGTAAAGGAAACCCTAGACTTTATGAAATATTGTTGGATGACAACTGAGCTAGAGTCTTTTGCAGCTGCTTGGATTCCTATAGTCTTAGTTCTTAAAGATATCATTTATACTTTAGAAAGTATTTGGTGATCTTCATCTACTCACCTTCATTTACTTTGGTTCTCTGTCAGAAGGAGCAGCCACTGAGACCACGAATGAAAACTCATTCCCTCATTCATGCAGTTACATAATACAGGAAACCATCACCTAAAAAAGCGGTTTGTTTTTTTTTTGCTTTTTAAAAAAAACACAAAACCCTCTAATCCAAAGGGAAAAATAATTTTACATCTTGACCCAGTATATATGTATATGCATAAATGTATGTAACTAAATACATATAAACATTTATAACTAGAGCAAGTTACACAAAATAATAGTTATTGCTAAGTGTGGTACACTCTGATATTTTTATTCTGTTTCAATTTTTAAATTGCTATTAAAGACTGATAAAAATTATTTTTAATACAAACTTTTAAAAAACTATTGACTAGTCAAGATGATGTATTATATAATTATATACTTGAAACTGATACAATTTTATTAACTGGTGTCACCCCCATAAATTTAATAAAAATAAATAAAAATATTGCCTAATCAAAATTAGGTTTCGCTAAAGCTTAATGTTCCTTCTAATTTATTTCAAGGATTGTATCAGTATGTAATTACTTTACAATCATCTAGCACTGGCCCTGGACAATGTGGCCCAGTTAGTTGGGCATCATCCTGTGCACCAAAAGGTTGCCAGCTATATTCCCAGTCAGGGCACATGACTGGTTTGTGGGCTTTATCACCTGGGAGTCATGCAGGAGACAGCAGATCTATGTTGCACTCTCATGTCCATATTTCTCTCTCTCCCTCTCTTTCTGATAATAAACTATTCTTTAAAAATATCTAGCAGTGTTTCTAGTATATGTGTAAGTTTTTGGGTGTTTGAGATACTTTTCATAAGTTGTTGAGATTACTATTTGTCCATTGTCATATGTGAAACCTGCATCTGTCATTGATGCCATTTACAGCATGGAAGAGTGGCAGAAGTCGCTCCCCATTTTCCCAACAGTGTGGTAGCGACCACATGGACTTTGTGCTATATTCATTCTAGGGTATACAAGGCTCTGAATGCATGAATAGAGGGATGAGAAATGATTTAGCTATTTCCTAAAGCTTTCACCTTTTCAATTATTTGAGTACTTTCTCAAAATTCATTATCATGCAGTTGTACTCTGATTTTAATCTCACATTTTAGGGAACTTACATGATATAGTTGAATTGAAATAGTCTCTGTTTAATTAAACCAAATGGCATACATTATGTTCTGTCTTTTATAATCACCTCTTTAATAGCATATTTGCTATGAAATAGGAAAACACGCTTTATATATCATTTTTACTTGCTTTTGATGAGTACTTGTATGTTTTCTCTCTTGAGCCTCCTAATAATCCAGTGAGGTTTGAAGGACATTTTTGTGTTTCCTTTGCTGTGAGGAAACAGGTTCAACTTTCTAACTGATGGGTTTGTTTTCTATTTAATCTTTTCTCTAAAATCATTAAGTGGCACATAGCAAAAGCCCCAATGCAAAGTTTCAGCTACTTTTCTTTAGATTCACTGATTTATTACTGGTTTGTGATTCACAGAATATTTGTTTAGTGTTGAGGGCATTGAGATTGACATTACAAATGCATTTTTGCTTTTCTATCTTACAGGCCCTGGCCTATTTTGAGCAGTTAAAGATCTCCCCAGATGCCTGGCAGGTGTGTGCTGAAGCTCTAGCCCAGAGGACATACAGGTAATTAAAACAAAAATTTGCATGACTCTTAGAATTTAAATTTCTGTGAACTTGACAGGACTTAAATTTACCTGTGTTTGGAAAATGTTTTTATAAGAACATTTTATGAACTGTGTTTTGGGAAATCATTTAGTGTAGAAATGAGAAAAATAGTAAACTAATAATTTGGCTCTTCCAGGATTGACTTTTCAGTAGAACTATCCTTTGCCTCATGCTGTGCACCTGACAGCATATCCCGACTAGAATGTAGTACATTAAAACTTCCTTATTTTCTTTTTCTTAAAATATATTTTTATAGATTTTAGAGAGGAAAGGAGAGGGAGAGAGATAAAGGAACATCAATGATCAGAGAGAATCCTCAATCAGCTGCCTCCTGCACACCTCCTACTGGGGATCAAGTCTGCAACCTGGGCCTGTGCTCTTGGCCAGAATCAAACCTGGGACCCTTCAGTCCGTAGACCGATGCTCTATCCACTGAGCCAAACCGGCTAGGGCTATTTTTACTTTTTTAAGTATATTTTTATTGATGTTTAGGGAGAGGAAGGGAGAGAGATAGAGAGATAGAAACATTAATAAGAGGAAGTTATCAATTGGCTGCCTCCTATACGGCCCCCACTGGGCATCAAACCCGCATCCTGGGCATATGCCCTCACTGGGAATCAAACCATTCCTTATTTTCTTATGATGTGAGTGATGGTTGGTTTTCTAAAGAGTTGGTAAAGGAGGTAATCAAATTATAATATTAATTTTTTATTTTAATTTAAAGTATATTAGCATTCAATTACCAATCTTTATTTAAAATATGGAACTCTTCACGAATTTGTGTGTCATCATTATGCAGGGACCATGCTAATCTCTCTATTGTTACAATTTTATTTTTATTTATTTATTTTTTAATATATTTTATTGATTTTTTACAGAGAGGAAGGGAGAGGGGTAGAGAGTTAGAAACATCGATGAGAGAGAAATATCGCAGCTGCCTCCTGCACACCCCCTGCTGGGGATGTGCCTGCAACTAAGGTACATGCCCTTGACCAAAATCGAACCTGGGACCCTTCAGTTCGCAGACCGACGCTCTATCCACTGAGCCAAACCGGTTAGGGCTATTTTTACTTTTTTAAGTATATTTTTATTGATGTTTAGGGAGAGGAAGGGAGAGAGATAGAGAGATAGAAACATTAATAAGAGGAAGTTATCAATTGGCTGCCTCCTATACGGCCCCCACTGGGCATCAAACCCGCATCCTGGGCATATGCCCTCACTGGGAATCAAACCAGCAACCTCTTGGTTCTTGGATCATTACGCAACCGCTGAGCCACACCAGCCGGGCTATATTGTTCCAGTTTCAGTATAAGTGCTGCTGAATCGAGCACTCACTTACCAATCTTGGTGTTGGACTGAGGTCTTTTCTTTGTGTATATGCTACTAGCATTCACTTTATCGCTCTTACGTTGATCAGACCCATAATCCATCCTCTACATTGAGGAATAATGAATGCAGGTTCCTAAGCTTTTTAGTTATTTGTCCCCCTCTCTCCAAGTCTTATGGTTATCTAACCCACATTACATATATACAAGGATTTCCCCCTGCAATGTGATTCCCTATGAAGTCTTTTGAAAGCTTCAACTTGATTTTTACAAAAATAAGAACTCTCATCATGCTCATTTATTAGTTTATATTACAAAAGAGGTGCAGCTGGCATAGTGAGACTTGGAGAAACACAACCGACCAGCTATAAGCAAACAACTTGCTTCTGTGAGTAGAAGTTCCTGGAGGCTAGTGATGACTCCTCGCGGAGGTCTCCGCATGCTGTGGGTATTAGTTACTACATTTTACAGACAAAACCAAGTGTTCCAGTTTATTGAAAAAGTTGGTTTTGAGAACATACATATGTCTTAGAGTAAATAAGAACCAGCTCTTAATTAAAAGCTTCTTATAGTTTACTTTTTGAGTGGGAAATTTAAGTCTTGTCTACTTAGTTTAAGGCTTCAATGTCATCCATGATAAGGATAAAAATCCTAAGGTCTTAGAAGAGGTGCTAAATAAACCTAACTTTAAAAAACTCTCAAAGGATTGTTTCAGCCCTGGCCAGGTGACTAAGTTGGTTGGAGCATCGCCCCATAGACAAAAGGATGCGGGTTTGATCCCTGGTCGGGGCAATTACGGGAAGCAACCAATTAATATTTCTCACATTGATGTTTCTCTCCCTCCCTCCCTCCCTCCTTCATCTCTCTCAAAGGCAATGAAAACATATTCTCGGGTAAGGATTAAAAAAAAAAAAAGATTGTTTCATTTATTTGGTTAATTCATGTTGTCTAAATGAACATCTCCATTCTTGTAGTGACCAGTTAGCTTTATATATGAAAAATGTTCTATGACAAATCCTGGCTCAAACTATCTATCTTGGATGAATAGATTGTTCTTCACTAAAGGGACTTTGTCAGAGTTTGTAGCTAGCTCACTGCAACTCTGTGGCTCACCCCTAGAGAGACAAGTGAAAGTCAATAATTGGTGTATACTTATTTTTGTTCTCCTTTTGTAAGGGCAATATATTTGTACCTTGGTTTTCTGCATGATGTTTGAGGCTAGACTGCCAGTCAGGTGATACCGGGTGTTTTGCATTTGGCTGCAATAGAACTGTCTAGGGTTGAATTTTAAGTATGACTTTGATAAACAACTGATTTAACTCAGTCTCTGGCAGTTCTGCCATTTGTCGTTTTAACACCTAGCCTTTAGCAGTTGTTCCAGGAACCCTAACATCTAGAATTTGGGGGGGGGGGGGTCTTTTATTTGCAAAGTACTATACTTAAGGTGTATCTTAATTTGTTAGGTTGTTCTGCTTGCCAGATTTGGTGGAAATACTGAGTATTGTATAATATTTGAAGTTCTCTTAGCTTTTTAAACAAATAGATAAGAATGTAATAAATGAGATGAATAAGTAGAAAACAAGCCAAAGGTCTATTTTGAGAAACTTTTTAACTATGTTATTCATTAATATTTTATCTTTGATTTGTTTTCCCCAATTCATATTCTGCTTATTTTCTTTTTCCTAGTGATGATCACATCAAGTTTTTCTGCTTTCAAGTTTTAGAACATCAAGTTAAATACAAGTAAGTCTTTTTCTCACTGCTTGACACTGAAGTTTGTGGGAAGAGGCCATTTTTTAAAATTAGTTTTTCCCTTTTTAGGAAACCATAATACAGCTTGTAATTTAACAGTGTATGTGACATCCAGTTTATAGCTGTATTTTGATTTGTCCCAAAGTGCTTTAACAATACTGAATTTGTTGGTTACATGTAAATATCCAACATTTTGCAGGGAAAACAAAACAGATTTCCAGTTTCTCTGAAAATATCAGAAGATGTAGCAATACCCTGCCTGTTTTCTACATGACTGCTCTCTGTAAGAGTTGAGCGGCAGCATGGGCACTTGTATTCAGAACCCCTGCTTTAATTAGGTGAAAACAATGAATCATAGCTCAGAGGACCCTTCGTCTGTCTATTGATTTATTCTGTAAACCACAGATCTCAGAAGATGGACTTCCATTTGAAAAAATTGTATAGCTGCCATTTTTTCTATGTGAACCTAACCACAAATTAAACTAATACCAATATTGATACTCCACCTGCCACTCTCACACTTATCATTTTTCCTTAAAGCAAGTGATGAGAGAGGCATTATCAGTTTATTTTAGAGAACTTCAGATCATTGAGTGCTATACAAATTTTCCTTTTCAAATATATGAGGTCCTTATTTTTTAAAACCGCAGACACCAAATATAGCCATTGTTATTTTTTCTTCTCTATTTTGAACAGATATTCAGAACTAACTACTGTTCAACAGCAACTAATTAGGGAGACGCTCATATCTTGGCTTCAAGCTCAGGTAAAATTGTAATTTCATTTAGTACCTCAAATTGCCAGATATTTAAATTTTTATTTTTGCAAGCGTTTGCAACTTTATGTCAATGTGGATCATTTACCCTCTATTTCATCCTGTAGCTCTCTTAGAAAGTACTGGTTTTGAAGATCATGGGTAGATGAAAGCTTAGCAGTAATTTTAAATTGTATCAATAACTGAAACTATCATGCTTTCCATGACACATTGTGGAAACTTGGTTTTAAAATGTTATTTTTTTTTTTACTACTTGACAAAAGCAGCTTTTCTGTTCACTCTTAAAGGTGACCCCCTCGTATGGGGAAGTAAAGTACAGCATAGGGAATATTGTCAATAATATTGTAATAACTATGTATGGTGCCAGTTGGGTACTAGACTAATCAGGGGGGATCACTTTGTAAATTACATAAGTGTCTAACCATTATGCCATGCACCTGAAATTGAATGTCAATTGTAATTGAAGCTTTCTTTTTAATGTTAAAAATCTTTTAAAAAACACATAAAAATGAATCCTCCTGGACAACCTCTTCACAAAGACCCCATTTCAAAATGGCCAATCAAGTTCTTAGTTCATAGTATGTTCTTTTTTTTTTTAATATATTTTATTGATTTCTTACAGAGAGGAAGGGAGAGGGACAGAGAATTAGAAACATCAATGAGAGAGAAACATCAATCAGCTGTCTCCTGCACACACCCCAGTGGGGATGTGCCCGCAACCAAGGTACACGCCCTTGACCGGAATAGAACCTGGGACCCTTGAGTCTTCAGGCCGACGCTCTATCCACTGAACCAAACCGGTCAGGGCCATAGTATGTTCTTATTTGTTAATTTTGGTTAATGTACATATAGCATTTGTATAGTTAGAAATTTTATTTTCCTATAAAGAACAAGCAGTTAAAAAAAAAAAAAAAGAAAGAAAAAAAGAACAAGCAGCTAGAAGAAAAACAATTGAATTTTTTTCCTTCGGAAAATTAATAGGAACTGGTAAAACTCTACGCCTGAAACTTTTCTCTAAAAGTGTGAGAATGGAGAAAAATAAAGTGTGAGAATAAGAAATAACCATCAACACGTTTGTTCATTTGATTATTCCTCATCTGCTCAGTTGCTTAAATACTTTGGTCATTTTTAAGCATATTGGTTGCATAGCTAATCTAGACCATGTTGAAGTTTGATATGTTTTTTGCCTATTAATGATAAATACGAAAACCAAGTGTTTGAAACTTTTTAATTTACATTTAATTTCACGGACTGTTTCTCTGATTGTCAGATGCTGAATCCTCAAGCAGAGAAGACCTTTATACGAAATAAAGCAGCCCAAGTCTTCGCCTTGCTTTTTGTTACAGAATATCTCACTAAATGGCCCAAGTTTTTTTTTGACATTCTCTCAGTAGTGGACCTAAATCCAAGGGGAGTAGATCTGTACCTCCGAATCCTCATGGCTATTGATTCTGAATTGGTGGATCGTGATGTAGTGCATACATCAGAGGCAAGTAACTTCCCTTTAATTTTTAGGTTTTTTTATTTTGTTTCTTTAATTTTATTTATTGATTTGAGAGAGAGAGCAACATCAATTTATTATTCCACTCATTTATGGATTCATTGGTTGCTTCTTATATGTGTCCTGACCAGTGATTGAACCCACAACCTTGGCATATTGGGATAGGCTTTAACCAACTGAGCTACCCAGTTAGAGCCTAATTTTTAGTTTTTAATATATATTTTATAGGAGATAATGAGCACATAATAAAAGGAGCATAAGTCTTATTTTTGAGACAAACTTTCTTAAGAATAATTATTTACTCAACATTTTGAATTTTGTTTTACAAAGGAACTTAAATTTGTCTTCTCTCCCCCATGTAGGTTGAAATTAGAATAGTTAGATTTTTTTTTTTTTACTAGGTGAGCACTTACTCATGTGAAATACGCAAATTTTTTTTCTCCTGTGAATTTGTAGGGATGTGATCTATATTGACTACTGCTGTGTAGTCACTGACTGAGGAAGAAGCATTGCTTATGAATCAGTGCTGGGTTCTTCTGTATTCTCAGTCACATAGCCCATTGCCTTATATAGTTCATGACCTGATATAATTTTTTTTAATTGATTGATTTTAGAGGGAGGGGAAAAGGGGGAAGGAGAGAGAGAAAAAAACCACATTGATTTGTTGTTCCACTTACTTGTGCATTTTTTGGTTCATTCTTGTATGTGCCCTCACCAGGGATCAAACCCACAATCTTGGGGTATTGGGATGACACTCTAACCAACTGACCTACCGTCCACGGCTTTGTCTCCTTATTAAAGAACACAACAGAAATAGTTTAATTCAAGTGTTTATAATAACTTTAAATTCATTGTATGTCAAACATTTATAAAGGTTATTTTCATGCATTTAATTTATTGCTATTTAACTTAAACATCATGTTTGTATTATATTGAGCAATACTCAATTACTTAAGATTTCTAAATGATGTGTATTTATAGTTTATGTTTAATAAGAGATCAAGTCTAGCACTGAGGAAGAGAATGGAAAGAGGAAATAGAATCACCGGGTATGATTTTAGAGCTGATAAATAGGAAATGTGTTGAAAGTCTGGAAGTTTAAGTGGTGAGGTAATTATTGTGGGCAACTATTCAGATGTCAAACATTATTTTGTGAGGTAGTCTTCTTTGATCGCGTATAAGGTGTTTTGTTTTGTTTTTAGGAGGCACGTAGAAATACTCTAATAAAGGATACCATGAGGGAACAGTGCATTCCAAACTTGGTGGAATCATGGTACCAAATCCTGCAAAATTATCAGTATACTAATTCGGAAGTGACATGTCAGTGCCTTGAAGTAGTTGGGGCTTATGTATCTTGGATAGACTTATCCCTTATAGCCAATGATAGGTAAGTATAAGTCTTTTTAAAATATTAGCCTGCAAAATACATTAATTTGAAAACATAACAATTCTATTCCATTGCCAGGTTTATAAATATGCTGCTAGGTCATATGTCAATAGAAGTTCTACGGGAAGAAGCATGTGACTGTTTATTTGAAATTGTAAATAAAGGAATGGATCCAGTTGATAAAATGAAACTAGTAGAATCTTTGTGTCAAGTATTACAGTCTGCTGGGTTTTTCATCATTGACCAGGTCAGTAAATTTATATATAAAGTTTTTTAAATTGTTAGAACAAACTGGGATAGGTAGTAATTTAAATATGCTTTCTTTTTTTAAAATATATATTTTATTGATTTATTACAGAGAGGAAGGGAGAGAGAGATAGTTAGAAACATTGATGAGAGAGAAACATCGATCAGCCGCCTCCTGCACACCTCCCACTGGGGATGTGCCCGCAACCAAGGTACATGCCCTTGACCGGAATCGAACCTGGGACCCTTCAGTCCGCAGGCCGACACTCTATCCACTGAGCCAAACCGGCTACGGCTTTCTTTTTTTGTTGTTGGAAACTCCCCTTGAGATTATAATAATGAAACACTGCATCTTGAAAGCCATAATATTTCTGTAGCATTTGTTTTAGGCAATGGATTATACCAGTTCTTAAACTTGAAAATCTGGGATGGTACCTTCGGATGTTCATTTCTAACAAAGTCCTGGGTGATGCTGATACTACTGGTCCACAAACCATACTTGTAGCAAGAGACTATACTATTTACATGACAGTGCATTTTGACCAAAATTAGACTTGGTTATAATTGTTACATTTTCATCATACTTTTGAATGGTTACTTATTTGAGTTGTTAGAATTTAATTCCAACAGCTTTGGGTGTGGTAAAGTAGTAATTTAGATACACAATTGGAAAGTTTTCATTTTACCTATGACAGTGATAAAGAATTACTAAGAAATCTTTGTATTGCTGATATGTTATTAGCATAGCTCTAGTGTTTTCCTTGCTGACAAACAATATTGTTTTCTTATACTGCTAATAATTGTCCTGGTAAAAGACCTAAAATAATGAAGTTAAAAATATATTTCTATAGGAGAACATTATAAGGATAATTAATGAAAAAAATCTAAGTTTGAGTTCTGGCTCTAACTGATATGACCTTAGGTAGGTAATTATAATAGCAGTATCTCTTTGCAGCAATAGTTAAGGCTCAAATTAAATAGTATCAGAAAGGACTGTTGTAAGTTGTTACACATACTTTGATTTTATTAAAGCATATTTACTGAATTCAGTAGTTTAAAGAGAAGGTTCTAAAACCATATGTCCCTATTTTTAAGCTTTTATAAAGTCAGCAATGTTTATAGTACTATAATCATTAAAAACAGTTGCTTTAGCCCTGGCCAGTGTGGCTCAGTTGGTTGAGTGTCGTCCCATGCACTAAAAGGTTGCCAGTTTGATTCCTGGTCAGGGCACATGCCCAGGTTGTAGGTATTTTTTATTTTTATTTTTTAAATATATTTTTATTGATTTTAGAGAGGAAGGAAAAGGGAGAGAGAGATAGAAACATCAATGATGAGAGAGAATCATTGATTGGCTGCCTCCTGCATGATCGGGGATTGAGCCCACAACCTGGGCATATGCCCTGACCAGGAATCAAACCATGACCTCTCTCAGTTCACAGGTCAAGGCTCAATCACTGAGCACACAGTCCAGGCTGTGGGTATTTTTTTAAGTTGCTTTAAAGCAGGGGTCCTCAAACTACGGCCTGTGGGCCACATGCAAATACAAATATTGTATTTGTTCCTGTTTTGTTTTTTTAACATCAAAATAAGATATGTGCAGTGTGCATAGGAATTTATTCATAGTTTTTTTTTGTTTTTTTTTTTTCATAGTTTTTTTTTAAACTATAGTCCGGCCCTCCAACACTCTGAGGGACAGTGAACTGGCCCCCTGTTTAAAAAGTTTGAGGACCCCTGCTTTAAAGAGTACTAGTGTATAATAATAGTAGAAGAATTCAAATTCTAAAAATTTCCCAGTCAAAATGTTAGAATTGTTAAATGTTAGTTTAAAATTGAATCCTTTAATTGGCATTTGATTCATTCTAAAGTTTAGGGTTTTTCCTCTTTACTCTTAGGTGTGTGATTTTAAATTGAGGACTGCCTTGATTCCTTTCAGGAAGAAGATGTTGACTTCCTTGCCAGATTTTCTAAACTGGTAAATGGAATGGGACAGTCATTGATAGTTAGCTGGACTAAATTAATTAAGAATGGGGATATCAAGAATGCTCAAGAGGCACTACAAGCTATTGAAACAAAAGTAGCACTGATGTTGCAGCTACTAATTCATGAGGATGATGATATCTCATCTAACATTATTGGATTTTGTTATGATTATCTTCATATTTTGAAACAAGTGAGTCTTTATTTTAACTTTTTGTCCAGGATAATATAGAAGGGTCACACAGAATTGGAAACTAATAGGAAAAATGAAAATAGCCCTAATTCTAACACCTAATGACATTTGCTGTTATATATTAATGTATTTCCTTTTTCTTTTTTAAACTTTTTATCCAGAAAACAAATTTCCAGGTTCTATAATTCATAAGACTGATAACAAGCTTCAGAATTAATGATAGGTTTAGGTTATATTTTTTATTTTTGAATCATGTTTATTTCTTAATACAGTAGATATGTTGTTAAACATAGTTTATTTTATTAATTACATATAAATAATTTTTGTACAATTAAAATTTTCCCCCAGAGAATTACTTTCAATAAGAACTTAAAATGTAGAGGGTATTAGTCTCTGTATTATAGCATGTAGCCTTTTTAAGAATAAGTAACTTCCCATTACAACATTAGGTGAGAGAACCATTCCTATTTTATTTATATTGATTAGTTTAATCAAGTCAAGCGTAAAATAATTTTTTTTCCACACTGAATTTAGCTTCTGTTTGTTATAACGCCTCTACGCTTACTTTAAGACATTTTTGGCAATGGGGAAAGGTATGAAGAAAATTCAGATCACTATTGGTAATCCCACTGTGTATCTCATAGTGGATTCTTAGGCCTTTTTTTGCCTTGTTCACAACAAGGCAAGATCATACTTTACTGTCCTATAACCTGCTTCTTTGCTGAAAGCATTATAAGTATCTTTAAAAATCAAATTCATTTATATGTCTTTGCCTGCATTTCAAGTTATTTACCAGAAATGGAATTGCTAGATCTTAGGTACATTTTAAATATAGGATGGGACAAACGTAGGTTTACAGTGTGAGTATGCAGAACACAGAATTTATTCTTGTGTTATTATTTATTAATTATTGTATTATTTTCCATACGAACAACTGTAAGTGTACTTTTGCCCCCACCCTGTATAGAAAGGAGCTGCCAGACTATCCTCCAGAAAAGTGTGCATGTTTTAAAAAATGTTAATCTATTAGAAAAATATTCTGATGAGTAAGTATAACTTTAGGAAACCTAACAAATTATTGCTTACTTTTTAACAGCTTTCAGTGCTCTCGGATCAGCAAAAAGCTAATGTAGAGGTAATTGACTTCTTTTTGCTTCTTTTAAACTGGTAATAGTATCTGTGTCTATAGTTTGCCTTTAAATATAGCTTAACTCCTGATTTTATGAAATTAAAGGAGACTGACAAAAGGTATTTTATTCTTAATTATAGGCAATCATGTTGGCCGTTATGAAAAAATTGACTTATGATGAGGAATATAACTTTGAAAATGAGGTAAGAATTTTGCATTGAGGAGAAATCAGTTTTAATTTCATTGTTTACTTACATCACGTTAATATTTCAAGGTTTGATTATTTTAGAGTCCTTTAAAACAAGATATATTTTTAAAATTAGCCTGATTATATTAACCTCAACTGTATGTAGAATTAATGGAAGCCTCATAATACTTCACATTTGGTACTTTTTTAAAAAACATTTCATAGCATTGATCTTTATAAAATATTGACAATATTTTTGGTGATCTTATCTTACTTTATATTTAACGAGAGTGATAAATTGAGGCCCAGTTGGTGGACCTCAGATCATAAATGTGAGTGGGAGAGTGGGAATGAGGTATTTAATGGCCTGGACTTGTTCTGGTTAGAAGTCTTGTCTAGGATTGCTAGGGAGTCAGCTTCCCATCAAATACAAGGTCATCAGGTGCTTCCTAGTAATTCAGTCATGACATAATACTGTTTAGTTGTGTGCTAGTGACCTATTCCTTTCTTTGGGCATTCAGATACTTTGGACTATAGAAGGATAATGGTGATGCTAACCAACACACTGTGTACTTAAAGCACAAGGCTCATTACATGTAATTGCTTCTATCATGCAATATTATAGTTTTTACAGTGAACAGAAAGATACAAGGAGTATAAATAAGGTGCTGAAGTTCTCACAGAACCCAATGTGAACCTCTTCTGACTCTAGATTCTTATCCTTAATTTCCTTCCTGTACTATTTCTGGTTCTGGCTTTCAAGATCTAGGACTATGTTCAGAAATACTTATTTGTGAGCAGGAGGGGAAGGTCTACTAAGCCTAGTAAGTTTTCCTGTATACATGAATATTGATGAAATAAATGAAAGTATTAAATTTGTAAGTGCAGAAAACTAATGACAGTTGACCATTTACATGAGTTTTATAATCTTTTATGTTTTTAAAATGAGAATTTTAAAATCCATCATAGGGTGAAGATGAAGCCATGTTTGTAGAATATAGGAAACAACTGAAGTTGTTGTTGGACAGGCTTGCTCAAGTTTCACCAGAGTTACTGCTGGCTTCTGTTCGTAGAGTTTTTAGTTCTACACTGCAGTAAGTTTGTTATTGTTTTGATAACAGGTCATCTCTTTCCTTTTCTCCCTGGTGATGGTTTACAATAAGTGATTCACTACTTTATTAATCTGTGTGACTTACTAAGATTTTATGTGTATCTCTGAAACAGTGCACTTAATCACCTTGATTTTTCTTGATCCTTGAGGGGAAACACTACTTTTTAGAACATAAATAATAATGGATAGCATCAGTTATTTCTACTTTTTGGTATAAATTATACTGCCTGGCAAAGTTAACAATATCTGCCCTAGCTGGTTTGGCTCAGTGGATAGGGCATTAGCCTGTGGACTGAAGGGTCCCAGGTTCCATTCCGGTCAAGGGCACATGCCCGGGTAGTGGGCCTGATCCCCAGTGGAGGGGGCTGGCAGGAGACAGCCAATCAATGATTCTCTCTCATCACTGATGTTTCTCTCTCTCCCTCATCTTCCTCTCTGAAATCAATAAAAATATATTTTTTTAAAAATTAACAATATCTATGACTTCTTAATAATTAAAGAGGCTTTTGTTAGTGTCTTTTTATCCTTTGCATCACTAATTTTGTATAAAAAGTGTATGTTCAGGTCTCAGTAACATATTATGCCTTGGTAGGAATTGGCAGACTACACGATTTATGGAAGTTGAAGTAGCAATAAGATTGCTGTATATGTTGGCAGAAGCTCTTCCAGTATCTCATGGTGCTCACTTCTCAGGTGATGTTTCAAAAGCCAGTGCTTTGCAGGATATGATGCGAACTGTAAGTATACTGAAAATAATTTATTTGAACATAATTTCCTGTTTTCACTATAAGCTAATCAGAGTCTCTTATTAGAGTTTAGTATCTGTTAAAGGGGGACATTTTGATGTTACAATAAATAAAGATAGATTTCTTAACTTTTTCTTGCTCCAGTTGGTAACATCAGGAGTTAGTTCCTATCAGCATACATCTGTGACATTGGAGTTCTTCGAAACTGTTGTTAGATATGAAAAGTTTTTCACAGTTGAACCTCAACACATTCCATGTGTACTAGTAAGTAAACATTTTACTTATTTTCAATTTTTGTTATTTTCCCATGTATTTCAGCTAATGAGCAGGTAGTATTCTATTTTTCTTTTATAACTTTTTCCACAGCCAGAGGTTCTCAAAAACTTTTTTCAGAAACTCTTGAATGCACTGATACTAACCCCTCTTCCATTAAAAAAAAATTTTCTGTCACCTAAAGTCCTCAAGGGTCTATTTGTGTGTTGAGTAAGGTTTCTTGTTATATATAGTGTTTGGTTCTTGCCTTCTAGAAGCTAAGAAAAAAACTTTGATATAAATAAAAATGTTTCACAAAAGTCGCAACAGGAGTTTTAAACAAGTGCAGCAAAAGTAAAAGTGTCTCTGTTTCTTTAGATGGCTTTCTTAGATCACAGGGGGCTGCGGCATTCCAGTGCAAAAGTGCGGAGCAGAACTGCCTACCTGTTTTCTAGATTTGTCAAGTCTCTCAAGTAAGTACAAAATTTCAGCTGTTATGTTTTATTCTTATATTTAGGATTATTAAATACAACATATAAATTATCTTCTAAGAGCCTGTGGTAGATTTGGTTCTTTCTGTTCTAAGGCATTTTTTAAGTATTCCTTTTTTGTATCATGATGTTAGGACTTTTTTTCATTCTCATTAATTTACTTCATTCGTTTAAAAGTGATTTGTTTGCATACTTGTATATGTAACACTAATAACATTATGTAATTACATAACCAATAGTTTTATTGCTATGGATCAATAGTATATGGCTTCTTTGAAATTCTAAAGAATATATTCCTTGGAAATACATTTTTAACCTAACCTGTTTTATATTCTTTACTAGTACCAGTTTTTGGCATGAAAACTATTCATTCTTAGGCTTATAAGGTTGTAATTTTTAAAAATCATCATTAGTCTTAATCACATGTGACTAGCTTAGAACTGATTTTTTAGTTCTGCCTTACCGGAGGGTTTAGTGTTTTTAGCAACTTTTCAAGCACTATTACTTATGTTATTGTGATTTTCCTTTTTGCCTTTATTCAGTAAACAAATGAATCCATTCATTGAGGATATTCTGAATAGAATACAAGATTTATTGGAGCTTTCTCCACCTGTAAGTACCTATTCTTCCAAATTACAGATTTTCCCCAGATTTTGAGGCCACATACACCTTTAGCACTAATACTTTCGTGGGCTTTTTTTTAATGAGGGTGGTGTGTGCAAGGGTTAGTTCTGTTTACCAACACTGTTGAGGTAGCTATAATAATAAAAGCCTAATGTGCTAATTAGACCAGAGGACGAAGCTGGGGCTACAGCCGCGAGATCGAGGAAGCCGCTGCCGCTGCGAGGGGAGGGCTCCAGGCAGCCGTCCGTGGCTGTGAAGGCCTACTCTTGCACGTGTTTTGTGCATTGGGCCTCTAGTAGTAAATAAAACAGTAATAGAAGTAGAAAAAAAGCAAGAGTTGACTGACAAATTTGGCAATGTGAGAAATAGTCTGCTTTCTCTATACTGTTAAATGTTGATGAAGTGTTTTATGGAGAAGGAAAAATTCAGTTTCCAAATTATTTAGTACTATGATCATATTGGGCCTTCTCAGTGACTGCTACTGTTAGACTGAAGCTTTTCTGTGTTTAATTTTTCAGGCTTAGGATAAAATTTTGATGCTGGTTTTTCTGAATATTTTGGTGTCCATTTCACTAGAAAGACTTAAGTTGGGGTGCTTTGTAAGCACATCTTGATGGATATTAGTACATGTTTTTGTTTACTAAATTGACTCAATTCTTTTTCACTTTGATACAAAATATTACTAGAACTGCCATTTAAAAAGTGTTGAACAAAAATAATACTGTTCTTTTAAGTAAATACCAGCACTTAGGGTACACAGCTTATGTAATTTCACTACATGAAAGGTTAGTAGTGAATTATATGGTTAAAAATTATCTTTGCCTACATACTAGAAAAGCTGATATCTAAAGTACTTCTCACGGTTATTGCCAGTTTTCCTTGGCAGTTCACGGTAACCCAATTTTTGGGTACCTTATATTTCTGTAGCACTTTATCTTTGTATTCTCAACTCCTAGAGCATTGATTAGTCTTAGTGGTACCTAAAAATGCTTTAGTTACTTCTAGATTGGGAATTTTTTTTTTTTAAGAAATGAGAATATGACATAATTTATCTGTTTTTAGACAAGGTTTTATGTATTTCTTAATAGGGAGCTTGAGTGTTGGACCTAGAAGGGCCTCTGATATTTCCCCACACTCCTCTTGGCCTCCCCTACTGCATAAAAAAATAACAAAATTCAATAAAAGTGACCCATATATGGGATGTCTGCTTATGCCTGAATGAGATCTGGTTCTGTATTTGCAGTCTTATTTTCAAACGTTTTAAAGTAATAACCGTTGTGAATGTGCATATGTATTTATTGTGTGGTTGTTGTTGTTATTCAACTCTTAAACACTCTTTAAAATATTAACTTGTGTGGCCTTTGTACTAACGTTCAAAGTACCTTTGTACACCTCATTTTTAGCCACCAACAATCTTACAAATAAGAGTTTTACAAGAGAAAACAAGGTAGAAGGCTAACTAATAATTATGACTATTTGCAAAGTCTTGAAAAGGGTAGACTTAGACCCACGATCTCTTTACCTCTACTTCAGTTTTCTTTCTGTTATATGGTCTTAGGAGAAAATTTGTTTTTATAAGCACTCAATCTACTTTTAATAGTGAGTTGATGTCATAGATTACACTTGCTTTTGCACTTTGCTTAAATGAGAGGACTTAAATGCGGAAAAACTTCAGTGAGACTAAATTTTATTTTAGGAGAATGGTTACCAGTCTTTGTTGAGCAGCGATGATCAACTATTTATTTATGAGACAGCTGGAGTGCTGATTGTTAATAGTGAGTACCCAGCAGAACGGAAGCAAGCGTTAATGAGGAATCTGTTGACTCCACTAATGGAAAAGTTTAAAATTCTGTTAGAAAAATTGATGCTGGCGCAAGATGAAGAAAGGCAGGCTTCTCTAGCAGACTGTCTCAACCATGCTGTTGGATTTGCCAGGTGAGTTAAGATTATTAAGTGAGTGACTGTACACAGACAAGACCATTTATTTGTCTGCATCTTTTAGAATTGGGCACATATCTGAGATTCCAAAACTGGATTGTCTAGACCAGGGGTGGGCAAACTTTTTGACTCGAGGGCCACAATGGGTTCTTAAACTGGACCGGAGGGCCGGAACAAAAGCATGGATGGAGTGTTTGTGTGAACTAATATAAATTCAAAGTAAACATCATTACATAAAAGGGTACGGTCTTTTTTTTCAATAGTTTTATTCATTTCAAACTGGCCGGATCCGGCCCGCAGGCCGTAGTTTGCCCACGGCTGGTCTAGAGAATTATCTAAGCTTTCTTTTCTAAATCTAGTGAATTAGAAGACTTAGCTGAAGAAGGGAATAGATTACGTAACATTCTGCCTTTCTGTCTTGACAACTGAGTCCTTAACTTTGACTTCTTTGGTGTAAATTGATTGTGTATTTAAGGGGATTAGCTAAAGTGTTTATATATCAGTTACTAATTGGGAAATCTTGGTGTTCGGTTTTGGTATCTTAAAGAGTAGGTCCTTAGACTTCTTTTTACCTGTTGCATTGTGTCCTGAAGACCACCCAAGCTGCTATTTCTTTCTCTCTACCCATAACTTTTATTGGCAAACAATAACAGCATATAAGTTATAGTGGTTGCTGATTATAAGTTATATAAAGCAATTGCTCTATGGAATATTTCAGTGCAAAAGCTAATATTAGAGAGTTGTAGAAATAACTTGATTCTAAAGATTGTTTTCTAAATTTAAATGGGTAATTTGCAGATTATGTAGTAGGACAGTCTGGTCATAGTAAGTGGATTTTCCCCCTCTTTTCTGCATACTTCATCAGTAGGATTTTAATAAAACATTTAGGTGGATTCAGATTAGAGGATTATAATAACTACATCGCATTCATTTAGAATTGTCTACCAGTTTTGTTAGTTTTATAATTTATCGTGCATTGTTTTTATTTCTCCATAAAAATTTTAAAGAATAAAGTTAAAAATAGTTGCCTTATTTTACTTATCTAGTCGGACCAGCAAAGCTTTCAGCAACAAGCAGACTGTGAAACAATGTGGCTGTTCCGAAGTTTATCTGGACTGTTTACAGACATTCTTGCCAGCTCTGAGTTGTCCCTTACAAAAGGATATTCTCAGAAGTGGAGTTCGCACTTTCCTTCATCGCATGATAATTTGCCTAGAGGAAGAAGTTCTTCCGTTCATCCCATCTGCCTCAGAACACATGCTGAAAGATTGTGAAGCAAAAGACCTTCAGGAGTTCATTCCTCTTATCAACCAGATTACAGCCAAATTTAAGGTACCACAAACCTCAGAGCACCTCCTGGCTTAAAGATCTTCCCCTGGCTTAAAAGATTAGGTGTATTTATCTTTAGATATATACATTGTCCCCCAAAAGTGTATATACACACTTTGAATAATTATAAAGGCAGTGCTTATTAAAATACATTTTATTTTCAAAATTGAGCTATCAGCTGTTAAAGTGTGTATACATTTGGGGGGGGATACCCTGCATTTTGACATTTGCCCACTTGGTTTGTTTTTGTAAATATGAGTTACTTGTGGGCATGGATTGTGTATTTTTATCATCCCTAATATCTGGCACATTCCCTGACACATAAGACATGCTTAATAGATGTTTTAATAAAAACATACATACATTATCTGTTTTATGTAGCAGAAGAAAACAATTACTCTTCTGTTTTAGAAAATCAAATAAAAACAGCACTGAGTACTACCTGTCTAAAGAGGTAAATAAAAAGCATTGTAATTTGGGTGTCCACACAGGAGTTTAAAAGTAATGTAGTGTACTAAAGTTGGTTTTATGTACAAGGAGATTTAAGTCAAGTATAAGCTGACTAATAAGAATGGCTAACACACAGTGCTTTCTGTGTTCAAAATGTGTTCTAAGCGTTTTCCTGCACATTAATTCATTTGATTCTAGGAGGTAAGTATTGTATTTTATAGATGAAGAAACAGACACAGAGAAGTTAAGGATAACCCAATGGCATATAAAGGCTGAGCACCCAAGCATGTAACTCCATTTAAAATTTAGCAATAGAATTAATATCGTGAAATTTAAATTGAAAATAATCCATGGCAGTATTTGATTGTGAAATATTTCTGGGTCCCTACCATTTTTCTTATTATTATTTCTTAATTGTTTATCAAGAGAAACTATTTCTTAGCTCAGATATTCATGTTTCATAGATCAAGTATACAGGTAAGTGACAAACTCCTATGGAATTCAAAGCATGATCACTTTGCACTCTGAAAGATACCAGCCTTCCTCATCTCCTCAAAATCTTGCATGGAATCATAACTTCGGTAGAAATCTGCATATGCCTTTCTTGGTTCAGCCACACCAAACTTACAGGAAGCTGCAACCCCCAGGAATACAATGATGGCTCCAACAATATGAAATGTTGGCCATGCATCTGAGGTTTTGACAAAGCACTGGAAGACGTGGTAGTTATAGTCTCCTCCACCGACGTCCTTCCTGAGGGAGAACTGGACCCGGCTCCCTGCTGTTTTAACGTGGATCTTGAACTGTAGGAAATTGGTTGAATTTAATAATGTATATGTTATGTAGATTTTGTTTTAACTTTGATATTTGCTAAGTGAATTGTGTAAATAATCTAAATAGAAATTCTTAAGAAAGACTTTAAAACACGTTTTTTCTAAGTTACATTACATTTTTTTTTTAATTGAGGTATAATTGGCATACAACATTATATTAGTTTTAGGTAGTATACAACATCAAGAGCCAGTATTTGTATATAGCAAAAGCCTAGTTAACAGCCGTCAATAACACTGTTTCAGAATACTTTTTCTTGTGATGAGAACTTTTAAGATTTTCTCTTAGAAAACTTTTCAAATATGCAATACAGGGTTATTAAGCTTCATAATAACTTTCTTACTCATTTCTGAAGTAGTAGTAATATTTCTTATGTTCAGATACAGGTATCTCCATTTTTACAACAAATGTTCATGCCTCTACTTCATGCAATTTTTGAAGTGTTGCTTCGACCAGCAGAAGAAAATGACCAGTCCGCTGCTCTAGAGAAGCAGATGTTGCGGAGGAGTTACTTTGCTTTCCTGCAAACAGTCACAGGCAGTGGAATGAGCGAAGTCATAGCAAATCAAGGTGGGGGTGTGTGTGATGCCTAAATTGTCTGCTGATGTCTTTGTCACAGTTATGCGTCTATGTGAGCAAGAGTTAGTTAACGTAGACACTAAACTTTCGGAGTGTTGTTGTACATGGACCCCTAGGATGACTGCTCATTATTTCAAGGAGGGAATTACTTTCAAGTTGAGGGCCTTAAAACGAATTGGTATTCAGTTCCCTTTTTCCTAAAGAAGTATTCTTTCATTGGTTCTTTAGTATTAAGAACAGCATGGTGGTTACTGCCAGAATTGACTTGACAATTGAGTCTTACTGATTAATTTGCCATTTTCAAATTAAAGATAAATGGGACTGGATAGATCAATGTAGACAATTTTGCAATATAGGAAATCCAGTGGGTAAGATGACAAGGGAATAGTGATTTTTCAATACTTTATGCTTAAAATTAAGGAGTACAGTTAATAAAAATTGAGGGATCTTATCAACTCTGTAAATGCTTTTGTCTGGTTACTATATATGGAATGAGAGCTTCAGGTTGCCTTTCCAGTTCTTAAAGTCAAGGTTTTTTTTCCCCTTCTCAGGTGCAGAGAATGTAGAACGAGTTCTAGTTACTGTGATTCAAGGAGCAGTCGAATATCCAGATCCAATTGCACAGAAAACATGCTTTATCATCCTCTCCAAGTTGGTAGAACTCTGGGGTAAGATGATTTTTTTTAAGCTTTATTCCCTAGTCTGTTTCCTAAGACTCTCAGAGATGAAATAGATCCCTAGCCCTCACAATAGACAGGAGCGGGGAGTTGATTTCCCCCAATGATAAAGTATAATTGACTTTTTTTATATACAAGATGAAAATTTGAATTCTCTTGACAGGCGGTAAAGATGGACCAGTGGGATTTGCTGATTTTGTTTATAAGCACATTGTCCCTGCGTGTTTCCTAGCACCTTTAAAACAAACCTTTGACCTGGCAGATGCACAAACAGTATTGGTAAGCACCCAGGAATCTTTGTTTACCTTGTGTGGATCTTATGTGTTTTAACTAAAAATTTCTTTAATGCCAGGTTGATTTTATTAGGTTTCATTGCTTTTTTTCCCTTCTAATTTAGTAATTTCAAATTAGGATTCATTTTTAAGAGATTGACGATACCTCTGGACCTTTTGTGGATCCTGACTAAATCGCAATGCTAAAATTGACTATATAAAATCCAGCTCCTACAACTTTAATGACCAAGACTCTTTCTAGGACCGTGAAAGACCACATACTACCAAGAGTCTAAAGTTTTATTAGTTTCCTACTACTGCTTTCACTCTAAACTGGTGCTTAATGTTTTTTTCTCACTATTAAGAGTAACTTTCTCTTCCTTGTATGATGGTTTCCCCAAATCTCCAGCAGTTGCCTTTTACTCCCTTCCCCATAGCCAAGTAAAAGCTAGATTTCATAACTATAATTCACTACATTGAGACAGCATTTTTGTGTTTTTATATTTTCTATTCAACCTACTTATTCCATCCTTTCCTGCCTTCATCCTTTCTTTGAAGAGTAATGAATAGTGGTCAGGAAAGTAAAAAGAGAAGAGGATCAGTAACCAAGAATTGACTATATTAAATTCTTAAACTTGTTTACACAGGCTTTATCTGAGTGTGCAGTGACACTGAAAACAATTCATCTCAAGCGGGTAAGCTTTGAACCCCATGCTCGTTCATTTTCATCTCACTTGTATATTTGTTATGGTTTTAAATCTGTTTGACTTGTTTTTGAAAGCTGTATCCTTTTTTTTCCTAATGTTTGTATTGATTTTCAGAGAGGGGACGGGAGAGGGAAAGAAGGGAGAGAGAGAGAGATACAAACATTAATAATGAGAGAATCATTGATTGGCTGCCTCCTGCACACCCCCTCAGTTCAGGCAAAACTGAAGTTAATTAACTTTTATAAAAGAAACAGCTTTCTCCCGACCAGTGTGGTTCAGTGGTTGAGTGTTGATCCATGAACCAGGAAATCGCGGTTCAGTTCTGGTCAGAGCACATGCTGGGGTTGCGGGCTTGATTCCCCCCATGTGGGCTGTTCAGGAGTCAGCCAATTGATGTTATGCTCTCAAATCGATGTTTCTCCCTTTCCCTTTCTCAATAAAATAAGATAAGATAAATAAAATAATAAAATTTAAAAAACATTTATTTAAAAAAAAATTCTCCTTTATTTGTAGATCTTAGAATGAGGGGAGACCCGTGCATAATAGCTTAATGGGATGGGATGGGTTAAGTAAGTTCTTTAAATAGATATAATGTATTAATATGTATTAAATGTAATATTGTGGAACTAAAGAAGAAGGAGCAACTTGGCCTCAGAGCAATCTAAGAAAGCCATTAGGAAGGCAATTTTTAAATTTTTTTTCTGACCTTAAATATAGATTCATTGGACTCACAGGAGGAGCTGGCATTCTGGGCAAAGTTAAGCAGTGTGTGGAGACAAATAAGACATCGCATGGTAGATTTGGTAGAAAATAGTGTTAACATGTTTAACTAAAGTATGAAGGCAGAAGTAACAGCTGTGTTAACATGTTTAACTAAAGAATGAAGGCAG